ACATTCCCATACAGATTTTCCAAGCCCATACAGTGTTTTTGGGAAGAAAAAAAATGTTTTTAAGACTGGCTGTGTGCTATCAATATTTCTTAGAAGGGATTCAGGTACCAAAATAAGATAGGGTTTCAGTACTGTACTATAGTGTTATGTGTGGTTCTGACTCGATGGAAAACTTGTGGAGTTGCATAGAATGTTGTTAAATTAAATGTCTGGTTTAGTTTTCCTCTTAGTTATTCTGCAGGGTTAAGGGTGTTTTACAAAGCATTGGACCGTATTAAAGTCAGTTGTCAAGTTAAGAAAAATTGACATTTTGAAGACTTGAGTATTCAGTAATTAAGGAGTTTTATTGAATGTTTGTGGGGCTACAGATTTGCCAGAAATTGAGTGCAGAAGATGAATAATCCCGAACACATACAACACCTGGGACCAGATGCTTCCCAGATAGTTTTAATCTCCACTTTTTACTGTCTGCAAACTGCATTGTTTTCAAGTTTGGTCCTCATTCCATGACTTAGCCTTGTTTTTGTGTTTCTGCAGGACATTCGCACTTGCTTGTGAACGATGGTGTGTTGGTAAAAACAGTAGCAAACCAGCATGTGTAACACAATCTAACACCTGCACGTACTGTAGGCCACGAGCTGGGCACTGACTTATTCTACCTAACGGACCCTGAACTGGAAAGGAATTTACAAGGAAGTTATTTGCAGATTGGAACTTAACCTTTCTGACAGTTGTTGTTTTGCCTTTGAGGCAATAGATGGATTTTAGAAAATGTGAGAAATTGAAGATGTGAATAATTGCACGGAATATGTCATTACCTTGTAAATTTCCTTACGGCCTGCAGCACAGGTCTTTTAAATTCTCAGTGAAAGCAAGTTCTTTCTACTGAGAGGTGGGTAAATAGCACTACAAGAGTGATCAGGGTGGACAGTGCTTGTTGCTTTGCTTTGCATGATTATATATGTATGCGCTTATATATACAGTATATAAGTATAAGGTGTCTATATATACCTTTAACTGTTGCCTTTTGCATTTCCATGTTGTTTTAGTTTTTGTTGGTGTTCTACGCCTATAAATTCACGTAGTGAAATATGTAATCTCCCAGCAGTTCTCTGCTGCTACGCATGATTGTGTTCATTTAAATGGAAAAATATAGTAATTTGTTTTCGTTTTATCTCTACCCCCTTATGTTAAATTATTTAAGAAGGAAAATGATGTGGAATGTATGATTGAATGTGGATTTGCAACAGTTCATGTAAATGAATTATTTTTTTTTATCAGTTAGGAATAGACTGAGGCAGATAGTGGGAGCTTCAACTAACTGGAGGTATAGTATTTAATTCTTCATTGTGGGTCATTTTTAATGATATGTTTAATTCCAACTTGTTTGAATAAGAAGCTTGGCTAAGCTTTGGGTGTAAGTGTGCCATTTATGTGATTAATTTTGACCTCCCAGAGACACTTTTTCATTCTTGTTTAAATACACTTTTCTGTCAGTCTCTAGATTAAGGTCGAATGTGGGTGCCTTCAGAAATAAAAACTCTTTTCTGCAGTTTAGGATGAATCGGGCAGGCAGGTGGCTGTCAAGGGCGATTCCTCAGTGATTGTTGTTTCAGTAAAACCTGCTGGGAAACTTTGATTTGCTAGATATTGCTCCAGTGTGTAGTGTCTCCAGTCAACTTTGGTGCTGGAGCATTTTAAAATATAGAAGTTAGATGTGTCATGTTTCTTGGAAATACTTCTTGGATTTCTCCTTGAACAAATTATTTAAAAAATGTTTTACTCGAACATGTAACACTTGTGTGTGTCATTAGATGCTGCCCTCTAGTGTTTTACCTATGAAGACTCCAAGACCTGAAAGACTTGGTAGCTTGTCTAGGTACTAATTATGATAATAATGTTTCTTTATTAGCCCTATACAATTTCTTGCATTAGGAATTCGTCTTTTCGCATACCCCAGCTTTTCTCCATGGAGACACAGACACACAGACAGGGAGAGAAGCTGGGGGTCAGAGCGCAGGGTCAGCCATTGTACGGCGCCCCTGGAGCAGTTGGGGTTAAGGGCCTTGCTCAGGGGCCCAACGGAGTAGGATTCCTCTGCCGGCCGCGGGATTTGAACCGGCAACCTTCCAGCCACAGGCGCAGATCCTTAGCCACAGAGCCACCGCTCCACCCTGATTACACTCAGCTGGTGTTGCTTTAGGTTCGAGCAGGGAACTGTGGCAGCCTGGCTGCAGAGGAACAAGTAAAGGTTAATTCCACACTGAAAAGAAGAAAAGAGAAACAGGCCATGCTTCAGGTCTGAGGGAGAGAGAGAGAGGAGTGAGCAGGGATGTCAGGCACAGGAGAACGGAGGACAGAGCTGGTAAGAATGTGCACACAGGTGTGAAAGCCTGAAATCACAATTTTCACACATCTTTCCCCAGATCGCCCTTCGTTTGGACACCTCTCACCTGTGTGTCCATTCTCACCTGCTCTGTCCTCTCCTGTGACTTATATCCCTGCCACCTTCCTCACTCTCCCTCACACCGGGAGGAGGCTCTACAGCTGGAATGTGTTTCTTCTTGCTGCTGTCGCGTGTGGAACTAACCCTTCCTTCTTCCTGGTGCTGCTGCTGGGCTCGGTCTCTGTGCAGCGACCACCAGCAGGCCCTGCGGGAGCGCGCCTCCCTGACCTCCCAGCTGGCCACGTGCCAGGAAGACCTGCCCGCTCGCAAGATGAAGGACAGTTACATCGAGGTCCACCTGCCCCTGGGCAGCCAGCCGGAGCTGCGTGAGAAGTACCTCAACGTCCACAACAGCGTTAGGTAAGTGACCAACCAGCTGGCCTCACACATGTACTGATTCATGTGAAATGGTTCTTACACGTGATGATGCCTTTGAGGTGGCCTTTGAGTGAATTGATCTCCCAGCTTTCGAGTAGAGAAACCAAGCTTGTCAATGGTCCAGTGGAGCAGCCAGATCAATCAAGTGAAGAGCTCAGCTGGGTTCTGAACCAGCAAGGGGGTGGTCATACGGGACCAGGTCAGTGAACCCCTGCCCAAAATCTGGAGCAAGCAGATCTGAGGTCTCTTGGCTCTGATCTAATACTTGCATGCGTCCCACAATACTCCCTGCTTTGGAAGGCTCGTGCTTTTTACACATACGAGAATGAGGAATAATTATTGCATTTACTTCAGTGCTTTACCCACCTCAGGCCCCGAAGCACAGCCCTCTTCTGTGTGACTGACAGCAGCCCCACTGCACTGAAGTGTGAAGCTGCTACACCAGTCGAATCAAGGGGAAGCTTTAGGGAGGCCAGACAACTGGATTAACTCTCCTACTCAGTAGTGATCAAATAGCCAGGATCTCACGAGAGGATGACACCTGCTCCAGCACAGTGTTACCGGTAACCATTCAGGTTGCACTGGATCAGAAATGGTTTTCCCTGGAGGTCTGACCAGTGCTGACCAGGCTCTGCCTTGCTGAGCTACAGGCTGTTAACTGCTGTCGGTCAGACTAGCCTGGTGCGTATCGAGACTCTGCTTCCCGGTCCGTGGTTCTGGGGCCGGAGGCAGTTTCAGGCCCAGCTTGTGCAGAGTGAGGAGAGAGGGAGAGTTCTGGAGAGAAGGGGGTTCAGTTTGCCACAGCTGTGCTGTGTGAACTCTGGCTTCACAAGTCTTGTGAGAGTGCAAGTCTGGGGAAAGAGCAGTTTGATATTAATTCAATGTTTCAACAGGTTCGGACGAATCCTTGAAGATCTTGACAGTTTAGCAGGTATGTATTTTGTGTGTTTGCAGGTTTTATTTTTGATTTCTTAATCAGCTGTAACTATGAATTGAATGAGTCAGTTATCTAGAAGTATTTTTTTCTACTTTCACAAAAAATATATAATTTACTATAGAATAACTCCATTGCCAATGTTTCCTATGGCAAAAGAGCATTTTGGGGTTGAAGATGTTAAAGCAATTTTTGTAATGACAGAAATAAACTAAACGCTACAATTAAAGTGATCTCCAGAACTGTTGCACTACATGGATAACGTACTTAATTCTCTAGTTCACCCAGTAATAGTCTACAAATTAATTGCCTATTCACTTAAACTGTTTGGATTTTTTTCGTATATTCAATGAAGTAAAATGTGTGTTACTGTAAGTGTCTTTGTTCCTCCTAGTTCTTATCTGCTACTCCCACACTAAAAGGGATACACCTCAGAGATCTCCGCTGTCCATAGTCACTGCACTGGTGGACAAAATCGGTAGGTGTTTTTGTACTCGAGTTTGTCCAGCCTTTGTTACTGTGCTGTAGTGGCGGATGTTCAGGCATCAGCTCATCCTACACAGTCCTTTGTAATTGCACCTCAAGTTGCATGTGTTAGAAAGTGTGTCTGGGGAAACTCGAGTCAAAGGTCTTTCTCTATAAAACACATCTTGTTGTTCTGCGGTTTCAGCAGTGACTGGGCTGAACTAAAACAGAGCGGGCAGCAGCTGGTTCGCTTGCTCGTACTCATTTCACGTTGTTGAAGTACAGTTGCAGCTCTGGGGCCCTGGTGCTGGGTTTTTGGTCTGTTCTTTCAAAGGTTGGTGTACTGTATGCTTTCCGAATCTTGTCCTGTGAAAGGCTTCAAGATGGAAGTACTCCAGAACTTACTTTTTTTTTCGGTTCATCTGACATTTCAGTGACAGACCGTGCTCCTTTAAAGCAGAGTACTGTGGTTTTGCAGATATGAGGAAAAACATCATCTACCCAGACTGCGACATTAAGTTTACAGGCCATGTGACCTGGGTGGGCAAGACCTCGATAGAGGCCAAGATGCACATGTCTCAGGTAGGGAGAGAATTGCAGTCTTCTGAAGTCTACTGTCTTTCTCATTACACTTGTGTGCATGCAGTTTAGTTTGAAAAGTAGAAACATAATGTACATTTTAATAATAGTAAATACTGTACATACAGTATGTACACAGTGCTAAATTTTAATCTGTTGAAATAATTGCTAAAAGGACATGTTCAGCATTTAGTAGTATTATAAATCTCTTCCTCCGAATGTGACACACTAATTGGGCTTGCTCTTTAGGTGAATTGTGAAGTAAAAATTGTCAACTGCATCATTCATGCAGTGCTGTGAGAAACCTTTGAGCATCTTACACACAATCAAGAGTTACAGCATCTGCATACTATGAGCAGCAACAATAATAATCTCATTGTGTTTCTGGATTAAGAAGGAAAAACACTGATCTGAAAAGCGCAGAATGTGTAAGAATGTTTCGTTGCAGTGTATACTGTAGGTCCTCCAATGTTACCACTTACCATTGATGACATACTGGGTTTATTTTCAGAATGTTTTTTTTTTCTGGAGTAAAAACTGTTTTCTGAAATGAGCTATACAATGTTAGGCTGTAAACGTACCGGGAGATAATGGAAAGGCAAAATAAATATTTTCACTTCATCACGCTTAAGAAAAATGAGCCAAGTTTCACTTTGCTGAAACTAAAACATAGCTGAAAGATTTTTCATGTCATGTGGGTCATGTGGACTCTTTCCTCAGTACCATGATGGTGCCTACAGTCCAGTTTTGGATGCGACTTTTGTCATGGTTGCCCGGGACCCAGAGAACAAGAGGTGAGTTAATCTTGGGTGCAGAACGGCCGTCTGACTGCGTGTCAAAGCGGGAAGAAAAGATGAACTGCTTGATTCCCCTGCTTGTATTATAGATGCACAATCCCTTTGTTAGTATAAAGATTGCTGTGCCTCGGAGCTTTGCACATCCTGAACGGGCTTCATCAGCTTTCTCGGGAGCCCTGTGACTGCAGCTGTTGCCCGTTTCGTGCCAGCGGCCAGATTCTCACCCCGCGAGAGTGCTGCGCCGCCCACGTGTCTGACAGTCCGCAGTCGCCAAGAGCTTCGCAGAGCTGTGTCCGGACGTGACGCGGACAGTCCTCTGTATTAACCCCTCGGCGTTCGTTTGCTAGGGCTGCGTTTGTCAACCCGCTGCAGCCCGACGGCCCAGAGGAGGAGAAGCTCTTCCAGCAAGGAGAGAGTAAGGAACCCACGCGCGCCTCTCCGCATTCTCTTCCCCACTCGCCGCCATGCCTGCTCACCTCTATTTAGGATGAGCTGTATTTCAGGACACTGTCCCTCACGTATTGCAGTGCATCGTGTTACCCAGTCATCCCTTTTCTAACTGCTTCATCCAGTTCAGGGTCTCGGGGAGCCAGAGCCTGGTCCGTCAAGCAACGGGCGCGGGGCAGGGAACACCCTGGACACGCTGGCAGTCCATCACAGGGCACACACAGACACGGGCAACAACGCACACACTCACACTGGGGCCGGTTAGCGCCCGCACAGGTAGCGTCCCAGGTCCAGAATCGAACCCAGGGCCCCAGTGCTAACTGCTGTGCCACTGTGCTGCCGCATTATATTATCGGTCCACCCGAAAATGAAAATGTAAAATGAACGTATAAAACATTGATTACTACTGGGGCGGTGTGGTGGCTCTGTGGCTAAAGATCTGAGCCTGTGGCTGTAAGGTTGCCGGTTCAAATCCTGCGGCCGGCAGAGGAATCCTACTCCGTTGGGCCCCTGAGTAAGGCCCTTAACCCTAACTGCTCCAGGGGCGCCGTATAAATGGCTGACCCTGCGCTCTGACCCCCAGCTTCTCTCTCTCTGTCTGTGTGTCTCATGGAGAGCAAGCTGGGGTATGAGAAAAGACGAATCCCTAATGGAAGAGATTGTATGTGGCTAATAAAGTGATCTTATCCTCTTATCTTTAAGAGGCCGTATGTGTATCTTTCTCACGCTCCCCCACAGTTAATAAGGCGAGGAGGGTGGAGCTGAGCACAGCCTCGCTGCTGAAGGTGGCCCCGACGGCCGAGGAGCGGAAGATCGTGCACAGCATGTTCCTGAACACCCTGGACCCCAAGTCAGTCTGACGGCGCTCCGCTCTCACCCGAGAGGGGACCCTGCTGTCCCGCTGCGTGGCGAGCCCTTACGATCTCCTTTCTTCCATCGCCCTCGAGCCTTCTCACACGGGCGTGAACTTGCACTTATCAATGTCGCCTCCTCGAGGGCCCCGAGCCGAATTCGCTCCCTGTCTGTGACCTGGAGCCCCAGGGAGCCTCTCCCACTTCTGTAGGAGGCATCCTTCTTTCGCTAGTGCAGTGTTGTAAAAGCCTGAGCTAGTTTAAATAGCCTTGCAAGACTGCACCCGTGTGTAGGTCGAGGCAAACAGCAGAAGAGCAGTAGGCGAGTCATGGGTTCAGACTCCTGGGTCGGGTGCGCTGGGCGTTATTCATTCAGCCTCGCTGTTAAGCCCCCCCTCTTGGGTTGCAGGACGGTCAGCTTCCGCAGTCGCGTTCTGCCTGCCAACTCCGTGTGGATGGAGGACGGCAAGCTGAAGGGGCTGGAGATCTGCCACCCGCAGGTACGCCGGGCCGGGAGCCGGAGCAGCTGCGTCCCCCTCGGGTCCGATGAGCAGAATGTCCACAGTTCAGACCCGGGACAAGATGGAGTTTTTGCGTTTGCAACGTTTGAAATGCGCTCCATCCTCTGGGTCTGTGCCCACGCTCACTTATTGAGCATGTGGGAGTATTGCATGGCCTTTGCAAGATTTGACATTTTTCTTGCCTCGGCTTTAAACCGTAGTATAAAGACCGTGAGGTAAAAAAAAGAGCAGGTGTTAAAACTGTCTGCTGTTCCTGACTCCAGATGACCACTCAAAGCAGTGCTAAGTCATAGGAAAACGATGGTTCCCGCTGCTGTAGCTTGACTTGATGACTTTTAGAAAGCAGGAGGCCAAGAGTTGAGGAAATCCCACTGTAACCCTGCACCAGACCTGAGCTTTCACCGCTGTGATGTGCAGTTGAAGCTGAGCGATATGTGTGTCTGTTTTTGTCCTTCAAAGGAGCGCAACATTTTCAACAGGATATTCGGGGGTTTCCTCATGAGAAAGGCCTATGAACTCGGCTGGGCCAACGCCTGCTCCTACGGGTGAGAGTGCAGAGTGCACGATGTCTCAGATTTCTGTTCTGGAGTCTGCCGGCTTCAGTGTTTGTTTTTTAAAAGTGATTTATAACGTTAATAGTTTGGTTTTCTGTGTGTGATGAAGTTAGAAACAGTGAATTTGTTTGGACTTTCGGAACACACGAGTGTTAAATACCTGATACAGAATGTCCCATTTATATCCGACACATTCATGTGTGTAATAAAACAAAGGTTATTAATGGAAACTACAGTTTTATTAAATTATGTTGATGCAAATGTTTTGCCTTACTACACTCTGGATACATTACAGATCTGCTTCTTTTAAATTACATGGGTAAATGATGTGGATTACAGTTGATGTTGATCCCAATCCGTCTTTAACAATTCAAGAATGTGTTATCACATTTATCAAAAGTAGAAGAACACACATTTGTTTGCTTTGCAAAATCTGTATTTTCCTGTTTCTGACCTTCCTTAGACCTGTTAAATATCAATGTGTCCGATACGAATGGGACAGCTTGTATGTGTGCTCTGCTGAAATGTGGGTGTGCCTGTATGTGAGATTGCCTCTGGGTGTGTCCCTGCAGGGGGTCCCGGCCGCACCTGGTGGCTGTGGATGATATCCTGTTCCAGAAGCCTGTGGAACTCGGGTCCCTGCTGCTCCTATCCTCCCAGGTGAGGCTCAGGTGTACGAGGTGAACCCCACCAGGTGAGGCTCAGGTGTACGAGGTGAACCCCACCAGGTGAGGCTCAGGTGTACGAGGTGAACCCCACCAGGTGAGCTCAGGTGTACGAGGTGAACCCCACCAGGATGTTGTACTAAGAGAGTCTACCTGTTTCTTAGAAAAAGGCATGCGTATTGTGTCAACCTGGATGCTTTCATAGCACATGCAGGGCACTGACAGCTTGTCTTGTTGGCTGCAGTTCTTCATTTGAGAGGACTAGATAATTTTTCTTTTCTAATGTTTTGTAGGGAATTACTCAGTGGTTTGTCAATGAAAGGTTTTTGGAGCACGTGCAATGCATTGCATCTACCTGCCTGATGTATTTTCTTGACGTGTTCTTGCCAGGTATGCTACACAGAGGAAAAGTACATCCAGGTCAGAGTTCACACAGAAGTTTTTGACGCTTTGACCCGGCAGCACAACACTACCAATGTCTTCCACTTCACGTTCTGCTCGCAGGAGGAGGTTCCCAAAGGCCTTCCCTAAGACCTACGGAGGTCAGGGTTCACTTTGTTCACTTCAGTGTTTGTTTTAATTCCACTAGCCTGTCCCAGAACCCACTTTAACGAATGCTTACAGTACATACTGTCACAGAAAATCTCAGACTTTAAGTGTCATTCTAACTGAGCTCCTGAATGAAGTCCACAGGGCCTGCTAAGGAAAGCTGGTGTAGCTGCAGGGGTGAGTAATTCTGATGTGCTTGTTGCTGCCAGAGTCCATGCTGTACTTGGATGGGAAGAGGCACTTCGATGTGACCATGAAGGGAGTTACAGTTGCCTAGCTGAACGCCAGACGGACAAGAGGATCCCAGCACACTCCCAGCTCTTTCCAGACTGGAGAGCTGCAAGATGGGGGGGGGTGACTCCGAGTGCTACATCAAGGTATTCAAAGGAACATTAAAACAGGTTGTACCCCGGGTGGAGAAGGATGACATCACCCTGAATCTCCACCAGGGAAAGAATGGAACTTCGTCCGGGACAACGTTGCCTTCGTCTCCGGTCAACCGTGTGGGCTTTATACTACAAGACTTGGGGGAAAAATGCAATTCACAGAAGACACAGGAGTACCTGAGTGCTGCTCAGAGGATCCGACCCCTGTGCTGTCTACCCGCTATTCTGTTCTCAGCTTTGCCTATATTTATGCATGATGCCACTACTGCCCATAGAGTGACTAAGTGCTATATTCCAGAAGCTTTAGGGTTGGGAAGATTGGTATGGTTTCCCGATAAGTCTGTAGCCTCGAGATTAAATACAACGAAATACATGACCACCTCTAATCTGAGATCATGAGATACAATAATCAATCATGCCAGAAACTTTGATATATAAAGTTCTGGCCAAGACAGGATCTCATATCCTCAGACAGGGGACTTGTTACACTCCTTCAGGTTCGTCCCACGTTACGCTGCAGGAAACCAGCTCTGAATTATACTGGTCAACATGTGGCAGGCAAAGGGTTTTCAGCCTTATAAAGAGATTGATATAAGAGCTCAATTTTAAGATTTTTGCTGAATGTACCACACGGCTCTCATATGGTATGCTTTAAAAAAAAAAAGTTTTTCCTTTTTCCTGTTCTTTAGCGATGACAAAACTAGACTTGTATCCTATTTGGTATATTTGAAAACAATTTACTTTACCTGTATAACAAGAGGCAAGACGTCCTTGGTGTCTGCATGTACAACATGGACAGACTTCCTCTCTGTGTAAGTGGATCAGATGTGAGCTTTACAGTTCTTTGTAATCCCCAATGAAAAATAAAAACTTTTTATAAAAAAAAGGGACATTTTGCTTTAATGCGGCATAGTCAGAAAGTCAACCCAGGTAAATCCATTTTATGCACTATTGTGCAGCAATTTTACAACTCAAAGAATATTTTTTTTACAAAATGCCTATTTTTACTTAAACAACTTATTTATAATGAAATATAAAGGCGTTGCTTCATGTAAAGGCAAAAAGTGTGTGCAGAACCATTTTTCTTATTTGAAACAACCTCATTTGCCAATATATTAGATGATGTGAATTATTAACCTACCTTTCTATTAAAAACATACTTCAGGTTAACCCTTATCCTTACTAGCAGGAGTGAAGGATAGATTAACAATTTATAACTAATAAATCTGCCAATGAGCTAGTTTCATGCAGAGGAAGGCAACCATCATGTCTGCCTCTCGACAGTGATTAACCAGGTCTTTTTGCCGTTTGAAGGCCATGATTATTTCAGCTTTATGTAGTAACATTTCCTTTTCTGTGGAAAAACGGCGCTCTTCTACAATATGAAATACTAGACGCAGACAGGATTAACAAAGTCAAGGTTTTATTTGGTCAGTCAATCGTAAGAATTCAGATCTTCGCGGATGCTATATCAGTGTGGGGTGATGTGACAAACTGGGGGGGCGTTGAGTTTTTTTAGTTCAGCTTATCGAAATACTTCAGTTTCCCTGAAGGATCTGGAATTATCTGTTAGAGAGAGAGAGAGCGAGAGAGAAGTGCGTCAGGATTGACCTTCAATTCCACCCATGCATCTTAAGAACAGGGAAAAAACGCCTGTCAATGCAACATCCTAAAACACAAATGCAGGTCAAATTCCACTCCCCCCCCCAGTGGGTAAAACACCATAGGCAGCTGGAGGAAGAGCACCAGGTTTCGTGCAGGTGGACTGTTTCAGTGGGACGTTACTCACGGCTCTTGCTTTGGCCACCAAGTGTTTCTAATCTCCTCTGGATTGATCCGATTGGACCAAAACAGCGGGAAAGGAGACGAGCGACACCTTACGGTTTAGGATTTCCACCGCTTGTCAGGAACCTCCAGCATGCCTCCCAGCCTGCCTGCACCCCTTCAGGTCTCTATCACAGCTGGAGCCTTGTGCATTATAATAATCCGGCTAATTCATCATAGAGTTGCCCCCCACACCTCCCCCTCAACAATTGGGCCTCTACAGGCTACTGGGCTGCCCTGATTCAGACACTGCTAGTACCTCTCCCAGCCTTAGCAAACCGAGGCCTGAAATTTAAAGGATGTCTTTACTTACTGTTTCGCTGCCAGGCTTCCAGCCAGCTGGACACACTGAAACAACAGCGTTGAAGGGTCACTGAGATTATGAGAGGCTCAGAGCGCGGGCTCACATGGCTCGAACAGTCAGACGGGTTAGGAAGAGACCAGGCACTCGGACCTTTCATCAACACAGCAACATCTTCCCATGTTGTTTTGTTGCATGAACCCAGATCTGTTGCCTCACAGAGGCAGCCACTCCACCCATGCATCGAGAGGGTAACAATATGCTAAAAAAGAAAGCTTACTCCTTGATATCAAAACCGTTTTTCCCCCAACGCAACAGAAATCACATTTACTTCCTCCATTTCAGCTGAACGGTTGCATCAAGTGCAGAAATAACAGCACTGCAGTTTAAATTTAAACATACTGCAAGAGACCCTGCTCTTGGCTTTGTGGTCTCAGGGACCTGCACATGCAGAAACCCCAGGATGGACATCAAATTAAGTGTATGAGACTTAATGCAATTGTTTCTTCAGCTCTTAAAACAAAAGAATGCTAAACAACAACAACAACAACAACAACTACATCTGGTACCATGGATGCCCTTTATGTCAAGCACTGTCTTGCATCGGTAATAGTTTTGTATTTTTACACTCATCATCCAGGTGGATGCGGAGGGGAGTCCCCATTACCTGTAAAGCGCTTTGAGTGGAGTGTCCAGAAAAGCGCTATATAAGTGTAAGCAATTATTAATTATAATCATAATGTAGTCAATAGCTACACTGGGTGTCATTTATCAGTTAGATGCCCTTTGGCGACCTCTATTGGACCGCTGTAATTGTGGTCACTTTTTTGTCCAGCCTGCCTCATCTACCTTGAAATGACCCTTACCTTCCCCGTGCTTGTCTGTGTACTGGAAGGCCTGAACCAAGCGCAGAGTCTCATCGACAGAGCGGCCCACAGGTAAGTCGTTCATCGTGATCTGACGCAGAATCCCTTTGTCATCGATAATGAACAGGCCTCTGAGGAAAGAGGGCAGGAAGGGAATGACACACACAGTCGGGGCTGGTAGCCAACATGCATTGCTTTTAAACGGAGAATTAAATACGCCAGTCAAAGGACGACAGGGAACTCGCCCTCTGCTGAGGGCTCAGATGTTGTTATACTACAGTTGTTAAAATTTAACAGAATGAATGGTTCAGGTAGGGAGCTGCGTCCACATGTGTAGGCTGCAAAGGAACAAGTAAAGGTTTATTCCCTGCTGAAAGGAGAAGAAAGGAAACACATGAACCCAAGTCAACCTGAAGAAGGCTCCACAGGTGAAATGTTTTTTTTTCCTTCTCTTTTCAGGATGGAATAAACCTTTACTTGTTCCTTTGCAGAATGAATGGTTTTTGCCCTAGGAATAAAAAGTCAGCTCTTTTGTCCAAAAACAATCGAATATGCAAAAGAGATATGTTTTTGTGCTTTAAAAAAACCCCCAACATAGACCAGGTTTCCAAATGGAGAGTTATCCGTGAAGGAAGCTCCTGTCCTGATTATCCGACTGTGATTTTGAATGATGTCTGTTACACTACAGCACAAGAGCCACACAGCCGGGTTTCCGAACCCTGGTCCTGCGGTCCCACACATCCGCTGCTTTTCATTCTAGCTTGACTGGACGGACTGACTGTTTTTTTTTCTACTCAAAAGTTTGGGATTTTATTTTTCCCACTGGAGATGCAACAAAGAGAAGGCGAACATGCATGAGGTCGAGAGCGGAAGACTGCCAGGATGTGCGGATTCATGCCGCGGATCAGTTCACCGACAGTCCGCGGGCGCTGGAACGGACGCCAGCGGGCATGGGCGGCCCCGGTGACGGCGCGGCGACCCCACCTCAGCGTGTGGCCCTGGTCCTCCAGGAAGACGCCGTAATCCTTGGCGATCTGGTGGTTGAGGTCCGACAGCAGCGGGATCTTCATCGGGCCCAGTCCGCCCTGTTTCCGGGGGGTGTTGATCCTGCACAGACAACAGAGCCGGTCCAGTGAGGTGCCGGAGAAAACCCAGAACTTCCCAGGAGCTAATTAATCCAAGGATCTCGTCCAGCTATTTCTTGAAAGAAATCAGCCGTGTTGTTGAACCCGATAGCCTGTGCAGCTTGTTCCACACTCCCACCACCCTCTGGGTAAAGCAACTCCTGCTCTGCGTTTTAAATGCACGGCTATATAGTTCTCACTTGTGCCCTCTGGCTCACGTTTCACTTTCCATTCTGAAGAAATCTGCTGGGTAAGACTTCGTCAGCGCCCTCCTGGATTTCAAATACCTGTACGGGTTCATCTTGCAGGTGTCTCTGTTGCAGACTGAAAAGACTCAGTTCCATCCGCCTGTCAGTGCAGGACATTCCCTTAAGCCCTACAAGGTATGTGGTTGCTCCTCTCTGGGCCGATTCGTGAGCAACAATCTCTTTTCTAGGACATGGTGACCTAATCGTACACAATATTCTAAACGATGTCTTCACTGGTGTATTGATTTTAACACAAGCTTTCCTCTCCCCTCACTGCTCTTGACAGGGGGTACAGGAGGGATATGCTGCTGCCCCAAGCATCTTCATACCTCTCTACCTGGTCTTAGTGTTGCTTAAGATGCTTAAGAAGTCAGAAATTTCAGGTTAAGGTGTATCGAAGTGTAACCGGCTATTTGTGTGAGTGTGTGTGTGGTGGCAGGATCTGAAAAGTCATTAAGCAAACAGTGCAAATACATAACCAAGGCCTCAACCGGCAAGAAGACACACAAGCGTCGGTCACGAGGAATGGATGTGCGGCCTGGAATCAGCAGGGTGTGAGGGGCGGGGCAGGGCAGGGCTCTCACCAGGCCAGGTGCGTGAACTGCGAGTCCACAGAGCAGGCCACCACCTCCGCGTTGATGTCGCGGAACTCCTGTATCCTGTCGCTGAACGCAATGATCTCCGTCGGGCAGACGAAGGTGCTGCGGCACACAGAGGAGAAATACAGCTCATTACTCACGAGCGCGCGCCCAAGCTGAACCAGCGATCTGGGGCGAGTGTGTAATACTTCCCAAACATGTGGGCAGTTCTGCGTGGAGGTGGGCTGGGGGAAGCCGTTTATACTGGCATTTGTTTTGTCTCGACAGCTTTCCCCAAAGAAAGAAAGAAATAGATGCAACAGCCCAAGAAAATCCAAATTAAAAATGCACCTAAACTCCCCACACGGTGGTGCCCCTGTAAACTGCAGAGGAACCTCTTGCAGGACGAGGAAGTAGATCTGTTTGAGCGGATACAGGCCGACACTCACAAGTCCAGGGGGTAGAAGAAGAAGATGAGGTATTTTCCTCTGTAGTCGGACAGCTTCAGCTCCTTGAACTCGCCCTTGATGACGGCTGTGCCCTCCCAGTCTGGGGCTGGCTTGGAGACTGTACACACACACAGACACACAGAGAGAGAGAGATCAGGACTGGACACAGGGCCGACCACAGCTTCTTCAAGACCACTCCTGCACCCAGGTCCGGTCTGCCTGGCTCTCCGTTACCCAACTCCGACAGCTGCTGGGTGAGCTGGTCCGAACCGGAACGAGCTTCAGCCGCTGACCGACGGCCAGGACCAGCCTCTGGCAGAGACCCGCGGCCCAAAAGGACACAGCTACTGAAATATCCCTCCTGCTTCTTAACCTTTTCTGGCAGCACAGCGGATTCCTTTCAGTCGGTATTGTGAACCAGGGCTGTACCTGCCAGCGCGATAAGATCAGCCACAAGACATCGCACCAGGCTTGGGAAACCACCTTACCATCCCAGGACCTAGGTCTCCAGTCGCGATGTCGAAAGACCCCAAGTGCAGCCGAAACCATCAGACTCTCCGAACCGGATCTGCGCACTAAGTGAAACTTGCGGAGAGAGCTGGCGGGGGTAATGATCATGCTCTATCTCCACATTTACTCCACGCAGCTCCCACGATCTCTATATCTAGAAATATAGCCCTAGCGAGTATTGCAGCCAAATATAAGCAGACCCTACAACCTTCCAGGAGAGGGAATGCAAAAAGGATTAACCGACAAATATCGTATTGCCCTCGGCCTCGCACGGGCACTGTCTCTTTAAACCGATTCCCCGGCCTTTTGCATCGTCGCTCTTTTTGTGGAAATGGCTTCGGGCCGAGTTTTAACGTGACGTGTCCCAGAGTTACTCTATCGGGTGAACCCGGGAGGTGCTGGTGCTGAACAGCACCGAGGTCTATCGTGAAGTTCATTGGCGTTTTGGCGGCTCCTTTCAAAAACGCGTGAGAGCAGCGATCCGACCCGATCTACAGTAATTCTGTGTTCACAAAGCATCGCTGAGACGACATATGGAAACTGATGAAAAGCGAGAGAAGTTTACCTGTTTTTTTTTTCCTTCCCTCAATAGTTTTTGCGGTCGAACTGGCCTTAACACTGACCCTAAACTTCCTAAGAGCCCCCACCGAACAGCGCGGCACCTGCAATTAGCTTGTACTATCCGACACATTACACCCCAGTTCAGGTGCATGGAATAAGCAAGATAAAAAAATAAATGCACCAAAAATGTAAATTAAAACAATCCGTTACACGAAATACATGCATGACTTGGGGTTAACGCGTTGCTACCGGGCTGTATAAAAGCCATCCGCTGCTGCAGGGACACCTCCGTGTCCGGCCTGTTTCACGCCGCGTTTGCATAGCGACAGCTGTTGGGCGTTTTAAATCACAATACGATGCACAGAGCATGCTTTTCTCGCTCGCCAAGCGCTAACAGGGGCGCCCCTCGTGTAAATACAGAGGGGAGAAAAGTGCATCAACTCACTCTTAGCCTTGCTGAGGTGCAGGGAGTGATCCGACACGGGCACCCGGGAAGCCTCCCCGGGGTACACATGCCCCCCAGCGTAATTATAGCACTCCTGCTCCTTCCTCTCTTGCGCGCCGGCTACGAGCTGCAGAAGAAAGGAAACTGCAAAAACAAGGCTGAAAAAGCCAGATGGAATCTTCCTGTAATGTCTTCCGTCCATTTCCTTGCCCCGCACTCGGCACGTCCCAACTCCTACAAAACTACCAGCAACTACAGCCCCGATTAATACGCGACTACAGCTGCGCCGAGCTGGCGCTGCGGGGGCGCGCACGGCGCGGGGGTGAGGGGGCGCGCAACCTTAAAGATGAAGCGCGCACGCCTGGTCCCAGCTGTCAAAACAAGACGGTTTTATATGACCCAGCAGGAGGGATCGCACCGTGAAAGCGACACGAACGTGGGGCGCGTTAAAAGCGCATCGGATTGTGTGCACCCGCCTTGGGGGGTTAAAAGAATAAAATCGCAAATTGCGCCAAGTTGGCTAACTCCGTTTTGCCTAATTATGTAATGAAACCATCGAAAATCTACCAGTTTCCTACGTTGTAAATACAAACATGCCTGACTTGCTTATGAT